ATTGGAAAAGTTAGTTCAGAGCTTTTTCAGATTTTTCAGATCTTGAAGATGTAAAATTCTAGAACTTAGATGGGGATTGTGAAGATTGCTTTCTTGAACTTTTGTGATTCTGGTCCAGAGTATTCTCTAGTAAGTGAAATATCACATTTAAAGAGGGCCAAGTAGTTGTTTTCTAGATAATATTATATGTTTTATAAGGGAGAAGGCAAGGTTGGAGAAGCAAAGTGCTTATGCCAGAGAAAAGTACTGCAAGCTTCAGACTTTGCCCGGGAGTTTTAGCTAGTCTCCAAAGTAGATGATAGAGTAGGTTGCCATCTGACAGGGGAATATGTGGAGTGTCCTTCTTGGAGTGAGTCTTGTTTTCACATGAAGGGCAATAATAGTGCTGAGCAGCAAACAAGTGCTATCACTGAGCTTTGGCATAAGGGAGTAGGAAGAATGTCTCCCATACTGTGGGGCAACCACATGATTGGAACCATATGAAGTCAATTCATGAGATTTTCGGCTCCCGCGGAGAATGGAGAGACACAATGCAAAAAATTGAATTGTGAAATTGAGGTTATATTGAAGGTGTTTATAGGATTAGGGAATCTTGCAAGAAGGAAAAAAAAGAGAAAAGGTGTTGATTTCAGATGTTTAGGAAAGGTGACTTTCTAATGCATGAGCTAAGGGAAAAAAGGTCATGAAGGAGAGAAGCAAAGCGTATTCCTGAACTTGTAAATGCTCATTAAATATAAGAAGGATTATTAATGCACAACTATGAATACACCAAAAAAAAGGATGAGTTTCTGCTAATTGTAAAGCAATATCTTTGCCTTCTTTCCTCTAAGTATTATTAATGGATAGTTTCTTTCGCTTGCCTCCATTGTTCACTGCACTGCTATTGCCTTAAGAAGAGACAACAAAGACATAACTAAATGTTGAGTAAGAAGAGCTCATTCCTTCCCTGTGGTACAAAATATAAATAGATGCTAGTGACCAAAATACAGAGAAGCTTTCCCTAGTTTGTAGAATAGTTCAATAAAGAATGGATATATAGAGAAAAGTCTTTTGATTCACATTGCCATTTTCTGCAAACCTCAAAACTTTCCAATAATTTTAATTGTCATAATGAAAATCCCTGTTTTTTTCTGGCAGAGTAGGGTTTTTTCCAGTTTATTTGGGCTTTTTTGTAGGAGAAAACTACCTTTATGGTCAGTAAATGCAGAGTTAACATATGTGCCAGGTACTGGGAAAATACATGGTTTCCTGAATTCATGCCTTAGTGTGGCCCTCCTAGTAGAAGAAAGTTGTCTAGAGTATTTCTTCTTAGTGATGGTTAATCTTCCCTCATAAGTTAGCTTTTGATTGTGCAGTTTCTAAATAGATAACTTACTATGTAACCTTTTAGCTTCAGTCTCACTCTCTTGGCTTTCAATTTGTGCATTCTTACAGGGGTTTCCCTTATAATCAGCAGCATCATCTTATCAACACATAGTGTTGACCTCTGGGTGTTATAAACCACTTTTAACAATTCACCAGCAATTCAATTTTTAACACTCCTGAAAACTAAAGATTATGACATTTACAGATAGTGACATCTTTCTCTGTTGATTCCAGTTTGCTTTTGTGGAAGTTTTGAGGGACTTTCTTTTGGTTTCTTTTTGTTGTTTGTTTGAGGGTTTGTTTTTTTGTTTGGTTGGTTGGGTTTTGCTTTGTTTTGTTTTGGGTTTTTTTCAATAGGGTTTAATATAAAATCTTTTGACTATTTTTACTTGGGCATGTTTTCATTTAGGCTATAATGTTCAGGAACTGAATGTGCCTTTTATATATACATGCAGAGCCCTCAATAGAAAAGTGTGTTCTTGTAGTTCCAGTTAGCACTATAAATAGCTGTAGAATAATGTGCTGAGAGCCACATAGAGAGTCCCCACTGGTATCTCCCAGAATCTTGTGGAAAGACAGAGGAACAGTGTTCTTTGGACTTTAAGAGAAATAGAATCTATGCTGGTTATGTCTCCTGACATGAATTTCACCCAACATCACAAGTATCAAAATACTGGCTTTCATCTGCAGATGTTAAACCATGTTGGTGTCAATCATTTGCCCATTGTGTTTTTATACTAGCATCTCTTGCCTTTCTTACCTGGTTCTTTTATGGAGCGATGGAGATCTTGGATGTCTACTGACCTGTTTCATTGGCCTCCCACAAGTCCTTAAAATGCTCATTCACTGTGATACCTCGGTGTGCTTGACACTAATTAGACTAATCAGCTACTCATGTAACTCATTGAACTGTTGTACTGTAACTAACATGCAATGTTAAGTTCACTATGTTTCTTAGAACATCCTTGTCTGTATCCTAGCTCCTGTTGCTTGTTTGAAACTCAAAAGTCATCTTGAGAAAAAGGCCATTGTTGTAGTATGTTTGGTGTTTGTACAAAGCCTGGCACTTTGGACTCCTGAGCACTCTGGCTCTTGGCAGTTTACAATCAGTAGATGATTAAGGTGTGCTTTGTGATGGTTAATCTCCCCTCATAAGTTAGCTTTTGATTATTCGGTTTCTAAATAGGGACTATGTAAATGGTCGATGGATTGTGATTTGATGTGGATTCCAGCAAATTATTCCTGGCACCTCCATTGAACTTGCCACATATGCCACTTTGATAGTAATATACAGAGAGGTATGTAACACTTACCGGTTGATACAGGCATTTAACACTTAGAGGATGATACCTCATAACATATTTATACATATAGGAATAATATAAAATCTCATCTAATCTTGGTCCATCATTTTGAAATGTTGCATACCTGAAAAAAATCTCACTATGTTCAGTACAGCCAACCATGGAGGCTTCATGGAGACTGCAAATGCATTTTTAGTGTGGATTGAACATGAATAAACAAAACTCTAAAATTTGATTGAGTTCAATTTTACACCTGATGTAAAAGCTAAAATTTTTTGCATGCTGGAGACAACATAATTTTTAATAATAATTTGGCATGTGTGCCTGTGTCAGCTATTTGCAGCTTTCAAGGAATTTTCATTCAAAAAGCGTGTTTGAAAAATTCTTCAAGGCACTGAATTCCAAAATACAGGCTAAAAGTTATGTTGGGGTTAGATATGTTCAGAGTATCCAAGTGTGTATGTGTCCACTGATTTTGGTTGAAAAGTTCAGCATAGCATCTTAGTTCAAAATATATCAGAGTTTTACAGATGCCATGATAAAACAATCATGGCCTTCAAATAAAAGCCATCTGTTAGCAGTATGTTCAGTGATTGCTGATTATTAAACTGAGTGCAAAACTTAGACACAGTCAAAACCACATTGACCAATGAGCTGAGTCATGGTGGAGTAACAGCAGTCCAGGCACCATTATGCTGCACCTTTATATATGCTATTCATCTTCTCCACTGTGAATACTGCATATATCACCATTTCTGCCCTAGTTTTGTCAATAGAGCGCTTCACTAAATTGAATAGCCAAAACAAGCTATCCACTGGAAACTGTGATTTTAGCTCTCTAGAGTATATTTTTAGCCTTTAATAATAAGTTAGATATAGCTGCAAACAAATGTTTTCAAAAAGCAAGTAAATGGGCTTATGTATGCCTGCAGAGAAATGTTTTGACTCTGTAACCATGATGATGTGACTGACAAGTAGAGAAACAGTGGGGGTTATTTTGCTGGTCTGGCTTGGTAAGTGAAATGCTACCTGGGTGGAACACAGCCATGTAATCCAGTGACGATTTTTTCCCTTTCTAATTAGTGATACTCTGAACTCCTTGGGGGAGACCAATTTGTGGACCTCATGCTGCATTCTGCCTTTAATAAACATATATACTGACTCTAAACACAGATCAAAGAGCTCAGCTTCTGAAGCTTAATTTTGCTCTCAGTCTCAGTATATTGCTGGGAGATTTTTACAGCTTGGCATCTTGTAGAATTTGTGGAGTTAAAAATGCACCTTTGTTGAATTAATGAATTAATTTTGACCAGTGCTGCTCCTTTATCCTTCATTTAGGATAAAAGATAAGCTGGTATTTAATGGAGTCAGAAAAGTTAAAATCAAATGGTTATTTTTCTTCTTTTAGTCATTTATAATTGCTCACAATTATATAGTAAATTATATCATTCAAAAAGCACTGTGAAAAAATACTGTGGTTGTTAGGTATTAGCATTGAAATCTATCTGTGTGTGGCAGTGTGCATTGCTATGGGAATCATTGCTTCTGAGCCCCAGCCTAAGCTCTGCAACTGATCTGCTTTATTTTAGCAGGCAACCTAATCTTTTGGTTCCTTAGAGACAACATATGTTAAATGGAGATGTGACCACATCAATTACGAACAGTGTGATGCTAGTGTTCAGTGTCTTGTTCTGAAAGACTATCTATGCCTAGAATTCCCATTTACTTCAGGTGAAAAGAGCTCTTGGACAGATCTCAGGAGCTGTATTTGTAATGTACACAGGTGTGTCTGAGAGATGATCGATGGATTAACAGTACGTAGAAGTTTGGTATTTTGAATTTACTAATACTTTTGTTATTGCTTTTATGGCATAACAAAGTAGAAAGAAACCAAAACACATTAGTGAGAGATAAACACAACACTCACAAGTATAAGACTGAAGGAAAGGAAGACTACTATAGTTTAATCTAATCTGATCCATCAGAGTTGAAGCAAGCACATTTTAAACTAACAAGAAATTTGATGTATTTTCCCCAAATTAGAGCTGATTTACTGCAGTAAATAGTGTGATTGTTCATACATGATCTTCTACATCAAATTCAGCAAAGCTGTACAACAGCAGGATGGCAGGCTTTTTAATAGGGCAATAATTTTACTGCTTTTCAGTTTGATATAATATACATTATCTCTGTGGGAATGTTTGAGGTGCCTTTGGTTTTTTCTTGTTTTTATTTTCCCGTCTAATAATAAGCAGTTACCCCAAATGTTACTTGAAATAGCAACTATTCTCCCTGAACTGTGGTTTTATTTTCTTTTGGCTTTTATTTCAGCTGCGGCAGCCAGCTGCTCCAAAGAGTGTGGGAAGCTGACTTGGAGGCCTGTCAGCTGTTGATCCGAGGGTTTCAGCTGAAAGAAAACAGTTGCTGTGTTTTTGAGGAAGAAGAGAACCAAATGGATGAGATGGAGTTGACTGCTGATGGTCCACCTGATTCTGAAAAAAGACAAGAAGGTCACTTTCTGGAGGGCACAGAATGGGGTACTGTTCCCTGCCTCAAACACAGTGAGCTGAAACAGGTATCTGAAATAGACCACAACTGCATTTCAAGCGATACTGCTGGTTTTCCTCTTGAGAGGAGGAGTTAAATCTTAGTGATGGGTCAGCAGGGCAGGTTAAGTATGAACTTAACATCTGGCCTCCAATCTGGGACAAGAATAAAATAGCTTATTAGCTTCTCAGAAGTCCTTCAACCCTTTTTCCTTTTACCATCAGTCTTTTTAAAAAGTGGAAGTTATTCAGGCAATAAATACAGAATGTATATCAGGATTTAAAGGAAAAACTATTAAGTACTTCACCAAAATTATCAGCTGTTCCTTATCACACTGATGCGTTTCACTCTGAGTTGGTTCCACTGACTTGTTAGCCTGGGTCTTTGTTAGCTGACATGAGGAGAGAGTAAGTTTTCCTCCCTTAGTGAACTGGTCAGAGGCTCTGAACTGAGATGCTAAAAGATTTGCAGCATCCAACAAATATTAAAAGGAGGGTAAAAAAACCCATGAAACTTAAAAAGTTTGACAGATTTCTTTTAAGTTTTCATGTTCAGATCTGGAATGCCATCCCTGCTTAAAAAATGTACAACTATCTAACAGCCTTTTACCTGCACTGCCAAGGTAAAGAAGCTGTTAAAAAAGCTTCATCACCCAACAGTGCCACTGTAACAAAAAGATCCTCCAAAAGGAATAGCTAGTTTTATTGCCATGGAATTTAGTTGACAAAAATTTAAAGTGTGTTTAATTGCATCTGATGTTAAGAGCCATTGAACTGTGCGTTACTTTGACATCTGATGTGTAATTTTGCATTTATACAGGCTGAATTTAGTGGAAAGCAGATCCTTACCTTACTGTAAAATGTCCTCTTGTTTGTAAAATTCTGGTTTTACATTTGGCTTCAGTAGTTCTTGCAGCCTTTTCCCAGGGAAAATGATTTATGGACCCATTCCACATAGACAACACTTATTAGAAATGGTCAGCTCTGGCTTTGATTCTGCCCTCACCCCTCTCTTTATTGTATTTCTGATGAATCTGCTGAGGTAATATGTGGAGTTGGTTGTGGAAAGCTGCACTCCCCTTCAAAAGTGCAGCTTAGAAGCTCTGGAGGGTTTGGTGTTTTGTGACTGTTTCTGTAGCACCCTTGAGATTTGTGCTGTAGATTATACCTGTATCACCCCTGCAAGTCCAGATTGTTTGCCTGGAAATCAATCTTGCTATCCTAGAATGACCTCTGGGCAGCTGATTTGAGGTGGCCTCTGGTTCTGGAGACGTGCAAGACTCAAGAGACAGATTCCCTGTATCTTTAATGGAAGAGGAGAGCATATTTGCAATGCTTCCATTAAGCTTCTCCTTTTGAATTTGCTTTTCAATAATTTCCTCTCTATCAGCTGTGAGGGAACTTAGGAAGACTACCCACTAACTTCAGGTCTTCATCTAGCTGCTTGAACTTTGTGGTATAAATGCCTTTGCCTGGGATCTGGCCTATCCTGGTATCCTGAATAAAACCCATTTTGAGAATGTGCCAAAATCCGTTCAGAAGCTGCTGTGTAAACATGAAAATGTCCAAGTACCTGTGGAGGTACTTGTCCATCTGTTCCCACAGTGTTCCTAGAATTGATAAACTTGAAAGAAAGAAAGAGCAGTTCTGTTGGTATGAGACTGTTCATGCACTGTCCAACTTTTAGAAGGAACTGAGCAACACAGCTGTGTTTTACCATGGCTTCCTCAACCAGCTTTCCTCTGCTTCAGTGCTGCCCGCAGCTTTGACAGTTGAGGCAAAGTTATGCATCAGTGATGACTGGAAACCCATTGCAACCATAAAACCTCCCCAACATAACAACTGTATTCTAGCTCTGTAATTAGGGTCATTCTGCCTGCTTTTATATTTTCAGGGGCTGAGATTTTTTTCTATGTTGCCAGGTACAGACTTTTACCAAAAAGAATGCTTTAGATTGTAAAACTGATAGGATCTCAGTAGGAGTGAGAGGCAGTATCTAAACTTTTAACTAAGAGCTATAGCAGAATATCCTCTAACATCTCCTAGTAATTCATCACAAGGCAGAATATAAAAAGAAAACAACTAAAACAAACTTGACACAAATCATGCTAACTTCCAGTTTTGAAAGTATTGAAGTGCAAGAGAGAATGTGTCATGATTTGTAAATGGACTTAGTTGAAAAACAAATCACTTCTGAAGCATTGAAGTGCTCTGTTACATGATAGTGTTTGGGTTTTTTTATTTTAAAAACAATTTAATATTTGTGGCCAAAAAAAAGTCATGATGTGGTATTTAAGTCTCTAAATTTAGCCATTCATATGACTTTCATGGAAAAACTTACTGTTGTCCATTAGTAGCAAACCTTTTTTATAGCCATTTATCAGCAAGTGAGGATTCCTAAGAGAAAGGCATGTATTTGTCAAAATAATACTTGGTTTGATATTATTTAACAAGGCTGTGGTGTCCCTGTGAGAGGAGTAGCTTGCTGTGGTTGCTGTGTTTCTAGAATGACTAGTCTCTTCGATCATGTCGCAACCTCTGTTCCCTAGTGGGGAATTTGTAGAGAGCACCATTGGTCACTGAAGCAGAATGAAAGTGAGATGCTCTTTGTACTTAGAGGTTACTGAATTACTTACTTCGAAACAGCATAGGAAAAGCTTATAGTAGCATATATGCCTTGGAAGGTACATTTCATTCCTGGGTGATTGATTTACTTTACAGTCAAATGCTATAAATGGATCTCTCCAGTTATTTACTGTGTCACATCTAGCTAAGCATTACTATGGAGTCGATTTTGGTTTTGTTAATATATACTGTAAATACAGTTTTCTTGCATGTAACTATCTTACTGTATAGGTTTCATTAGAAAGCAAAAAAACAACCCGAAAAAAACCCAAGTAAGAAACCTAATAGTAATAAGAAAAGCAAAAAAGACAAATGGAGAGAACCCTTTCGTTAGATCCTCAGAAACTGCTTTGCAAAGGGGATGTTTATCATTTTTAATTAAATATCCTCACTAGATCATAAAATATTGCATGTTATGGTATAAAATTACATCAGGTATAAATTCTTTGAAAGTTTGGATATTGTGCTGTCATGTGAGCTCAAGTTTATTAACTGTCAGCAGTTATTTTATAGTTTTCATAACTGTGTTTTCTAAGACAATAGATTTTTTTTCCCCTTAGTTTTTATGTGGTAGACTGGCATCCCAAAATAATTTAGTAAATCAGGTTTCCTTTACAACACTGGCTGTTAACCAGGGATGACAATCACATGCTCTGGCAGTTCAGCTTGTTGAAACATCATTACTAATGATTATGGTCAAAATTAAAGTGACATCAGCAAAAATCACCCTGTGAAACACTCTGAGTTACTTAAAAAATAAGATGTACATCTCTCAATTACAGATAAATCTTTAGACTATAGTATGAAAAAAAATGCTGAAACAAAGTTGCAGACAATATTACTACCCTCAGTCATGTGAAAGTCAGCTTGTCTAATGTATTTGATAGAGATTATGGAATTTTCACCTAAGTGTGTACGTTCCAGCTGGTAGCAATATGGATGAAATTAGAGCACCCCATCATTGCAGTTGTAGTTTCTTTTTGTGACTATTTGGGCTTGATTTTCCCCCAAGTCTCTGAGGAATTAAAAATGGATTCCAGTTTTCATCCCAGAAATGTTCCATACTTTTAAACTAACTGTGGATTCTTTTGCCCGTGTGACATGTGAGGTGGAAATTGCTATGATCATTACCACATAGTTAGATACGTATCTGGGTGGTTTCTAAAATATGCAGTAACATTTCATTTCTCTTCAGACATTAATGCCTGCTTGTTCTGCTCCTTATGATATCTTGCTTTATTTTTTGCTTGTTGATAATGTATGTGTAAGCAAAAGCTTTCTATAACACCGATGATAACTAATAAACTGAGAGATGTGTGTGTGCTGGGACCTCCCTAACACCAAGTAACTTGATGAACATGGGTATGTGTGTAACTGCAGGCTTGTGTTCCTGACCTATCCTTTTTATTTCTTCTTCTGCTCTCTGGCATGCTGTGCAGTGCTCCCTCTTAATCACTATGAAGGAAAGAACCACCTACTAGATTTCAAGAAAATTGAGGTGATTAAAGTTACAAGGTAAAAATCCAAAATTCAGTAGTCTTACCTTTTTTAAGTCAGCATTTTTGGTAGTTATCCAATCAGAATTCTTTGTAGATAATTTCTCAGTTTTTCATCATAAAATAAGTAAGGGTTAAGGGCTGCTGTCTTTTCCTCACCTCTACATACTTCAGTTTTGCCATCTGGGATGAAGTTTTGGGGTCTCTTGAAGATCACTCTGGTGTTGGGAAAATGTTCTATAATTGTAAAGCCTTCATGTGATTAACTTTTTAAAAGGTACTGAGTGTTCTAAGTGATACCAAATGGACAATCATAAATATTTAATGTAGTGTTTCTCATTAGAAAGAAGTAATCACTGGACATGATACAACATTTTTCAGAACGTAGGGATAGCAAGCCCCAAGAAAGCCTTTTTGAGCAGGCTGTAACTCATTACAGTGCATTGAAATAGCCTGTGGTCCAGGAGGCAAATGTGCAGTGTGTAACGGACAAAGCCTTTGGAAAGCTAAACAAACTGTGCATTCATTTGAGTTTTAATTAAATGTTGTATTTGTGGACCTTTGAAAATAATTTGGAAACTTTAAAATTAATCTTAGTTTTAAATGTCAGCATTAAGCATTAGTGAAAGTCAGCATTTGTGTGGTTTTCATATTGATCCAGGCTGGAATAGGATTTCTGTAGCAACAGGCATCTGGTATGTACACAATGGTCAGATCATTGCTGTACAGTCATGTGTGTAGTTGTGCAGCACAATGCCCCTCAGCCACATCTGATCCTCTGGTGTAGTATCTACTGGTAAAGATGCTAACTCTTTACTTAGGGATTGTAGCATCTCTAAGTTTAATGCATATATGTATTTTGCAGTAAAAATATAATCAGAAAATTAATATTATAGTTAAAATAAATC